TCTCCGCCGTGTACGCCTCGGTGCCGTGGCGCGTGTTAGCTGTTACGGTGCAGCCTGTCTCTTTCGTAGTCGACGGGCCTCCAGACGCGCCTCTCTGGGTTATGTTGCACCGGTGAACCGAGTTGAAGCCCAAGCACCTGCAAGCTTTGTGGGAGACTTTTCACTCCTTCCTCATTCCTGAAAGTCTGAGAGTCGCAGTAGCTTATTTCGCTACTTTGTCCCAAGGACGTAAGCAGCGGAGCCCTTGGTTGGGGGCTGCCTGGAAAATGTTTCGGCCGTGCGTGTTGCGCTGCATCGAGGCTGGAGTGTGCGACTTGGACATCTTTCTGGATCCGTATTTCTTGCACTTCCCCGGCGCGATGAGACTTCCGTGCGGTATCCCGGGTTGGGCTGCGACACGCAACCTACCAACCTGTTACAAGCGCTTCGCGAGATAGACGCTGCGGAACCCTGGCACAACCAGTACCGCGCTCCGATTCAGGACCACCCTGGATCACAGCCCCCCCCCGTTTGCCTGACAAGCTCGTTCCCCTGGGCGATCTCTGAGTTTAGTCCTGCGTGCCGGTTTGGTCGGCTCTACTCCTTCTTTCTCGCTTCACCCGCTTGTAGCGAGCATCCATTGTGCCCTGCTAGCTAATTCAACATGACTGTGATACTCTTCACATATACCCTCCACCTAATGTGCACTCATCCTGCACATTCTTCTTCTTCCCGCTTGCACCGTCTCTCGGTCACAGGTTGTCCGACGCCTCTTCATGCGACTACATGACGTTGAAACTGCTACAACTCGTGCGGGTTCGCTCGAACTCAGCCAAGAGCGCCCCACAATTAAGATCGGCCTCGTCCACCCATGTGGGTTCGCGATAGCCTTTCCAAAACACCTGGAACTCTCGGTGGACGCGGCCATATCGCGCGCGGTGTCCAGCCCTTACGTCGGCAATCCGTCCAACCTTGAACTCGTCACCTCCAAACGGAGTCTCCCAGCTATCCTCCGGGAGTAGAGCTTCATCGAAGTCGACTCGACCTTCTTCATCGGCGAGCAGGGTGCAGTCGGGAAACACTTTTACCGGCTTCACCTTCGACAGGTGTACCACAGGGAAGATGCGCTATTCTGGTCCACTAGTCTCTACGCGTGTTGCATGATCGCCGATGAGATCGGTCACACGAAAAGGGCCGTGTCACATGTGGCCCAGTTTCCTCGCGAACCCTTCCTTCACTCGGTCCAGGTAGAGCCATACTTGTGATCCTGGCTCGATCTTGTGGGACCTAACTCGACCATTATGTTGAGCAGCTCTAGCTTCTATCGCTTTTCGAAGATCGCTGTTCACCACTTCTCTCGCCCGTCGATATTGCGATTGCAGACGATACCTTCACCGGCGGGCTTCGCTGTCTTTCCGCCTTGTGAATCCAATCGGGAGCGTCGTTTCCAGCGTTGATCTTGCGTCCCACCCATGCACCAGATAAACGGATGTGTCTCCACAAACTCGATCTTGCGCCGTGTTGAGAGCAAACGTCAAGCGTTCGGCGTAGTCGTCCCAGTCCTGTTGGTTGACGTCGGTAACATAAATCTTCAGCGCTCTCGTTAGCGTTTGCACCGTTTGCTCCTCTTTTCCATTACCCTTTAGGCGGTAGGCCATGGTTGACCTCTGTCTCATCTTCACGACCCGATTAAACAAGCGGAAGAAATCGGCCATGAATCCTGGCTCCCGATCATGCCTAATAACTTCGCTTGCGCCAAACCGTCTGAAGATGCATTCCTCGTAGTTTTCCGCCACAGCCTGGGCTCCCAGCGATGATCCCGCTTTGACGACCACGTATCCCGTGAACAGATCAGCCCAAAACAGTAACTCCGTGTTCCCCTTAAAGGACTTCGGTAGCGACGGGTGGTCCATGGATATGACGTGGAACGGGGACGTGCCTTGCACATTCCCCGGCGATCTTCCTTGATCTATCGGTTTCCCTTTTCCTGTCTCACAGTCTGTGCATTCTCCTACGTAGCGCTGGACACATCGATACAGGTTATGCCAGTGAAAGTGCGTCCGGGTTCTACGGTATGTCCTCCCGATACTGTGATGGCCTCCTTCCAGGCTCGTGTGGTAATGATGGAGGAAACCCTATTGCAAGCTTTCCGACACCACCAATATGACGACGTCGTCGCGATCTTTGTCTCGTGGCAGGGCCCTCGGGCAATAAAACAACCGTCCGTCTTCGTCGACCTCATACGTTGCAGCGATCTTCGAGCACGTCTTCGCTTCTTCCTTCGACAGATCGTTCAGGTCACCGTTCAGGTACGCCTTCAGGTCTACGATCCACTTCTCTTCGTCTTGTGCCTACTTGATCCGGTGACTCCGTATACGTCGCACAACCGATTCCTCCATCACTGCCGGTGGTGGCGTCCGATTTACCGCAGATTGAGTGATCGCGTTCACGTGAGTTACTGGTCTGGCCGACCTTGGTTGCAGTATTTCGTGCAATCTGTTCAGCGTGATCAGGTCCTGCCGTTCTTCTTCTACTGTCACGATGTCGCTTTCTTCACGCTGCAATGCAGCGCTAGCGAGCTTGTCGGCACTTTGGTTCCAATCTCGCTTTACGTGCAGGAATTCGTGCTTTGGCCAAGATCGCAGTTGGCTCAACGCCTTCTGGTGTAACAGCTACAGGCGTGGCGCCTTGTAGTCGATCTTGCCTCTCATCTGGCGGATCACCAAGTTGGAGTCACCACCGATCACGACTCGTCCCCTGGGTTGAGTCAAGAGGAGATCGAAACACAGTAGCAATCCTATGTACTCCGCCTCGTTCACTGTCAAGTCCGGCATGTGTTCGGACATTGCTTCGAGGTCGTCCACTCGAGGAGTTTCCAGAGGATCGCGCTGTATGGGCCTCCCGCACGCTTCGCTCGTGCCGATCCGTCAAAGCTCGCCACCAACAGGCTCTCTTTCGGCTCTACGGTTGGAGTAATCATGGCAATCATCTTCCGAGGTAGCTGCTTCGGGGCTATTGCGATTAGGGGCTTCATCAACTTCCTCTCGAGGCGTGATGCTCGCAGCGATCGCTCCTAGGATTTCTTCTTTGCCCTTGGAACATTTCGTAATTTCCAACGTCCAGTCAGACAACAAATCAGCCACCTGCCCAAACGCCCGTCTAGCCCATTCGGCTTCAGGAGCCAGGCTAGCGTGGAAAAACGCGATAGCACCTTGATGGATCTGGTGACTAGCTGCAAGTAGCAGACGTCTATGGTGAAGGCCACTGGCCAATACACACCGCCTGTTCGTGCATTAACGCCACCGAGATCGCCCACATGTTAGCATAGAGGACTATGATTGGCGACCGCCCCGGATCGAAGTGCTTCAAGATCGGGGTGGAGATAATCTTCGCATTGAGTATGGTGAACGCATTCATTGCTCGTGTCCAGCGATCGCGTTCCTCGTCCGCTGAGGCTGTCCCTTCCCCCGGCCCTCCGGTCAACTTCAATCGTACGATCTCGTCGTAATTTACTCCTGAAGTCATACAAGATTGCTGCATAGACTGCAAAGTCCTCGATGAACCGGATGTAGTAATTCAGGCTTCCAAGAAACGACTGCATCGACTTCAGCTTGGTGGGGAACAGGAGATTCGAGAAGGCTTCGAGGTCTTTCGGCTACACCTCCAACCCG